ATATTCTCCTCCAAAACCATAACTCAAATGCATCAATTCTTCTGCAGGCTTCCTTATTCACTGTCCAGCTTTCGCATGCATATGAGGTTATTGAAAACACCATGGCTTGGGTCAGGTGCACCTTAGTCCTCAAGCTGATATCTTTACTCTTTAACACTTTAAAAAGGTCATGTGCAGCAGATATGCCTAATGCAATATGTGGTTTGATTTCTTGACTGCTGCTTCCATTAATGTTGATGGTTGATCCAAGAAGAATGAAGTCTTTGACAACTTCAATCTTTTCTCTGTTGATAAGAATGTTGTTTATTGGTCCAGTGGTGAGGACTTTTGTTTTCTTTACATTGAGATGCCATATATTCCGAAGGCTGTGCTCTTTGATCTTCATCAGTAAATATTTTAAGTCTTCACTTTCAGCAAGCAAGGTTGTATCATCTGCATACTGCAGGTTGTTAATGAGTCTTCCTCCAATCCTGATGCCGCATTTTTCTCCATATAACCCAGCTTCTCAGATTATTTGCTCAGCATACAGAATGGTGAAAGAATACAACCCTGTTGCACATCTTTCTTAATTTTAAACCATTCAGTGTTCCCATGTTCTATATGAACAATTGCCTCATACCGATTCCTCATGAGCACAATTAAGTAGATCCGGAATACTCATACTTCGCAATGTTGTCCAAAGGTTGTCATGACCCACACAATCAAAAGCCTTTGGGTAGTCAATAAAGCACAGTTAAACATGTTTCTGGTATACTCTGCTTTCAGCCAACATCCATCGGACATAAAAAAACCTCTCATTCCACGTCTTCTTCTGAATCCGGCTTGAACCTCTGAAGTTCTCTGTCAATGTATGCTTGCAGCCATTTCTGTATTACCATTAGTAAAACTTTACTCACATGGGATATCAAAGATATTGTTCAATGATTTCTGCATTCCATTAGGTCACCTCTTTTTGGAATGGACACAAATATGGATCTCTTCCAATTGGTCAGCCAGATAGCTGTCTTCCAAATTTCTTGGCAGAGATGAGTGAGTGCCTCCTGTGCTGTCTCACTTTCTTGAAAGATTTTCATTTTTATTCCATCAATTCCTGGTTCCTTGTTCTTTGCCAATTCCTTCAGTGCACCTTGGACTTCCTCCTTCGATCATCATTGGCTCTTGATCATATGCTACCTCTTGAAATGGTTGAACATCAACCATTTTCTTTTGGTACAGTGACTCTGTGTATTCCTTCGATCTTCTTCTGATGCTTTCTGCATCATTCAGTAATTTGTCCAGAGAATCTTTCAATAATGAAAGTCCAGGCTTGAATTTTTTCTTCAGTTCCCCCAACTTGAGAAATGCTGAGTGTGTTCTTCCCTTTTGGTTTTCTGATTCCATATCTTTGCACATTTCGTTGTAACATTTGGCTTTATCTTCTC